CTCACGCACCTTCACGTGTGTGTGTGTGTGTGTGTGTGCACGTTCGCTGTCATCCGATTGGCCCTTTTCATCAGAAGCACACCGGCTCCTCGTTGTTGCGTCTACTTGTGTGGTCTGCGAGGTCAGTTTGGTGCGTTCGCACACCTTCTCCACACCCACAAATACCCACACAGACCGCACACAAGTTTATACAAACTCGAGTATGTCACAACTCCGGAGTGAGCAGGGCAGGGCAGGGCAGGGCAGGGCGTGATTGCGTAAACCCACGACCCGGCCACTGGGCGTGTCTTCAAGGCTCGAGTCCGTTGACGGCAGACGCTACAACGCCTGGACTCGAAGTGAAAATCCGAACGTTTGAGTCGAGTCGAGCAAAAACAAGTTCGCTCCTTACCTCAGCAATCCCATGCCCGCTAGCTTCGCTCCTCCTCTAATGTACGAACCGTCTACCGGCTGTGATACTGTCGGACCAGCCTATCGCACAAATTGGGCGCAAGATCTGCTTCAAATGGCACACAGAAACAGGCACACATGCATAGGCACAGATATACGGATATACGGATAGACGGATAGACGGGGATACGGACAGAATGACAGGCATATAGGAAATTAATACAAGAGAAGAGGGGAAAGTGTATAGATAGATGGATGGATGAATAGCTGTATGTATAGATGGGTGTATAGATGGATAGATAGGTAGCTGTACAGACCTACACAAAGACAGGGATACAGAAATTAGAAGGAAAGAAATAGAGACAGACGGATGGAAGATAAACAGATAGACGTACTAACAGACAGACAATTAAACTCGTGGACACACACAGTCAGTAAATTGGCAGACTCGAGGGATGGCGAAGCCGGGTCGTAGAGCCGACGCAAATTGTTGGGACGTGATGTCCTATTCTAGTCAACAGGTAACATCACCCTCCCACGCAGACGTACACACAAGCCCAGAAAGAGTCGTCGCTCCGCCGAGGTACCAGCCTCGAGGACGTTGGGCTGTTGAGGCCGGTGCACATTGGGGTGAGCTGAGCTGAGCTGAGCTGAGCTGAGTGGTTATAATGTTTTTTGAGTCCTACTTACTACCTTCCCCAACCGGCCTCTCTCTCTCTCTCTCTCTCCTGTGGTCCGGGTCCGCCCACACGCACCCCTGCCTGCACCGTCTGTGGCGTTTGTTGCACACAATCGGGCACACACGCGGCTCACGACTGTGCCGCCGCGTTCCCACTGAACAGAACCAGGCCAAGATGATTAGCCGCTAAGCCATGTGAAAATCAGACCCCCGACGCAGGCACAAATACACACACACACACACACATGGGTGTGTACGCAAACACATGCGCAATTATCGATTGACTGCACTATCAACATCACCATAGCGATGGTTGTGCTCCACGGCGTCGAGAAGGGCATGGATAAAACCCCTCCTCGAGGCTAGCGCATGCTCGGCTGGCTCGAGTCCGCTTCTGGATGCTGCCGTTTGAGCTGTCCGTCACCCCGCGGTTGGGTTGGCAACACGCCTGCCCCATGAAGCGGTACAAGAATGCCTACAAACATTAGGCCAAGAAGTGTTATGACCTGGCTACGGAAAGAAAAGCGTGGTACGGAGCTGGCTCTGGTTCAAGGTTGACAGGAAATGAGAACAAGATCGGTTTGGGCTCGGTTCAAGGCGGTTTCGAGGGCGATTCGACGTCTGTTATGGACGAGTTTGAGGCCGATTCACGACTTGTAGGAAACTATTTCGGGAAAGGTTAGAAATATGCTGAAATCTGGTATAGGAATTGCCAGTACCTGGTACCAGACCGGTGTGAGGTCAGATCGAGGCCATCTCAATGTTTGGTGGAGACTTCGAGCTGTTCTAAGTATCAATTTGAGTCTAATTCATGTAATAATAACTTTGTTCATTCTATTTCGCTGACGGTGATCATGTACTTTTCTAAAAATCACTTGCTCCCCAAAAGTCATTCTCGTCCAAATGAAGCGAGTCCAGCTCGAGGCTGGGTGTGAATGAGGTGTGAAATGCCTTGATCCGTGTTAGAGATTGGCTCAAAGTTTGTTATGATGGCGTTTTGAGCCAAGTTCGAGGACGGTTCCATTCAGACTGGATACCTGTTTGGGGCTCGGTCAAGGGATTCACGGGGCGGCTTTCAGACCGATTCAGACCTGGAGTCCGATTGCACGAGAGTAA